CTGATTGTTGTTTCTTGATCATTTATTATACTCTAGAAGCTTGAAAATATAAATAGTTGTCGAATAAAGCTCAATATTTTGGACACAAAAATGTAAACAAAGGCTTTGTTTACATACGGACTGTAGATCACCTTTAAGCAGAATCCACATATTTTACCTTAAATTTTATTGTCCATTGTGTACAGTTCAGGTTTTTGCCTTCTAATCAGAGTATATATTTTTGCTATGTAACATGGAATAAGCAGTGATGTTGATTTTATGAAGCTCTTACTATTTACAACAACTAAAGCAAACTTAAGCCTTTCATAATAAAAGCAAGAGAAAAAGCTGTTGGAAGAAGACAGTAGAATATTTTATTTCTGGCAATGAAGGGCGTAATGAGCTCATGAATACTCCGCTGTCTCTCATTCTTATAAATTTTGAAGCAACTTTTCAGTAAGATTATGCAGCAGATTGTTTTTTTCTTTGCTTTAATATCTTCCCCAATCCAAAATATGCTGGGTTTGGTGGATAATCCAAGTAAACACATGTATACACAATTTAAGACCTAACCAGAAATGGTTGCAAAAAAATGCATGCACCACCAACTGAGCTACAGAGGCCAGTTGTCAAGCTGTAACCACAGGTTTATGTATATACATTGATTTTCAGGTGTGCCGGTTGTGATAATGTGACTTTAACAATTGATTTTTAATTTTACTCTTGTTTGCTCTTTTCTTACTTAATATAACAATAATGATTGCTTCAATTGACAACTTCCAGCAAATGAAAGTTATGCTAGCAATATTGTTAAAATAATGTGAACTTTTACATCTTTAGAAGCATTTGTTAATGTAGCCGACTGTCAGTTATATATAAGAAGCTGCAGTTGCCACCCATTGCTGATTATCAGCATCCATCCAATATAATATTGAGAACTAGTCTTAAGGGCTGTGAAACACCAGCATTTAACAACACTCTAAATAAGTTCCTCATCATGAAAAAGGCAGATGACAAAAGGTGCATGCATACATATTTTGAAGTACGTTTCCAAGCTTACTGCTGTCCAGCTTGTTATAAACGGACCTTGCTCCCTTCTATAAACCTCTAGTGGTGTGCACCTGCAGTCCTGCACCCCTCCATAAACCTGTGTACAGAATTTATTTGTTCATTATGGGGATGACATGCTACCACATCCACACACCCTGGCACACACCTCAGCATATCAAGAATCACATGCCTTGGTCAAACAGCAATTCAAAGTATCAATGAAAGGAGAATTTTCAGTGGGGAGGGGCACACCCCAAGTGAAAGCAGGCAGCCGCTCAATTTCTTATAATGTATGGTATTTTTGAAACTTGCTATATTACTACATTTTACAACAAGTGCCCCCTCCCCCTTTCCTGAAAAATATTCACCTTGTTTGATATTGTAATAAACCATAGTACACTACAGTATATATTATACATTTCAATTACCTAAAAGTCCAATATAAAAGTTCAACTATAGATTAATTAATGATATTTTATATTTTTGGCTCAAGAATAATATATTGGTATGAAGTAACACACAACTTTCAACCGAGGTTTTGTTAGAAATTGCTTATGGCTATGTACAAATTATGTGCAAGGTTTAGAATGCTAATATTAAAATATATATGAGCCAATCTGGCCACAACGTCTACAGCGAACACACTTCACTAATCTAAGGTTACTACTAGTATTAAAATATATCGAAAACATACCTCTTATATTTTTGCTTTGCTTTAACGGTTTCTTTATACCGAGGAGTCCTAAAAACAAATGAAAAATCAACTTTCACTCCAGAAAGTACAGTAGTTAGGTATATATTAATATGTCATGAGGGCTTTTCATTTACATTCAACTTAAATTTGTATTTTAGCGTGAGGAAAGGTTAATGACATGTCTAATTCGTACTGTGGTCAAATTGATCTGGGAGGCATCACAAATAAGTTCCTTAATTGTAAGAACCGTAATGGAACGTAAAAACGAGCCTTCTAACTCACTGGAGAATTGGTCGAAGCGTAAGATGTCTGCTTATATAAATCAGAGCTAAAATGATAAATACGATCTAACCAATATTTGTTTACTTTTTCTCGATGTTTGGTAAATTATAACAAGCTATATGAGACTACAAGTCAATGTTACAGATTAGGTACTAATAACAATAATGAAGGTTTATTCAAATACCTTTGCAGCAAATGCTGATTGACAAGTTTTACAAATTTTACATATATGCAAAAAGCAACTTTTATCAGACTATCGAAGAAAAATCTTTGCTTTCATGACGTTTTTGTGCTTTCCATTTACAAGTTACAGATTTGGTAGTTATCTTATTACCTACTACGAAAAAAATGGAAGGGTAATCGATGAAAAAGACACGTTTACCTCAATAAGACAATAACATAACGAACCTTGATTCGGCAGTGGCGAAATATGAGGCTGGCGGCATCTACAGCGTATTTAGGATCGCGTATAGTTTCAGTGTTAAAAATTTATGTAGAAGATTATGAAAATGACATTGGAGTTTTGAAACACTTACTTTTCTGATCTCCAGAGTTATCACAGCCACAGCTAGGTGTAGTGTAGTCATTCAGTCATACTCCATCAATGCGTCATATACAAACCCATGGACACGAGGCTGTCAGATATATGACGAATCACGTGAAAACAATATGTACATTTTGTTAGGTTTTGTAATATACCCGCCTTATCTTTGTACAAGGAATATAAATGTTCAAATAATCAATTATACAATAGAGAAGGCAGGCCGGAAGAATAATTTGATGATTTTGTATGAAAGCAACGGCCATTAATAAGCGAACATTTTTTAAATATCGTATATATTCATATAGTGATAGCATTATCCTGAGTCGCACCTATCTATAATCCTTCAAAACACTCGCGAATTAATGAATTTCAAAAGTACTCGAAGACATTCAATGACATCTTCATATTAGTAAAGATAACGAATCACCAAGGTCAAGGACAAGCAGTTGTGTTTATATGTTTAGCTTTTAAAGATCGTCCCGTTGCATTTCGCACTTCGTTAGACTTCACATTCTCCTCTTTATTAAAAGTTCTTATAGAATTATTTTTCAATGTGGTTAAAGAGTCTTCATTTATCCACCTTTCTGAATATTGACTGTTGGTATGGTAAACAGATGCAGATGATTACATCACTATAGAAGTATTTCAAATCACTGGATATACTTTCGTATATTCACGTCCATACATGAAGTTTTTGAACTCGTCGAGAAGAATGTTTTGTCCATCATAACGACGACTCAGTGACGGTACAACTTCGCTAAATAACCACCACTCGGAAGCGTTTTAGATGAGCTTTTGCGACTTTTTTTATCCAAAAGGTACACGACATGTTTGAATAATGAGGTCGAAGCTACTGATCAACAGATGCAGTAAGAATTTATCTCGGCGTGATGTGCTGCGAAAGGACTTTATAGTAGTTCTGAAGATCCAATTCGAAGAAAATTGTACATGTTTCAGGCGTCATCATAAAAATCGAGTAAGCACGCCGAACGCAATGGAGCGCCGGTTCGGTTTGCTCCATCATCATGTGAAGATCTGAAGAAACGGCATAAAATGTGAAACAAGGTCTGGATTTATGGAACCATGCATGGACTGGAATACATTGTCGATCAGTTTCATTTTGATCACATGATAATTCTTGTACACTTTCAGCTTAGAACGATGTTCTGATCAAATCCTTGCAATGAAATTTCATTACCTTCAAGATAATATATGATTCCGAGGTGTATGACTCCTTCTTCTAATGTCCCGTTATCTCCAATATAAGTTAATTTACATCAATTAAAGATGAAGTTGTGGGGGTAACTCTTGTTGGAGTTTGCATTTGTTGTTTCAGTTGGAAAATATCCATTATGTTGAGTAGTTTTATATAGATGTATCATGTTTGCATGAAATTTGAAACTCTCGTCCTAAGAGCGTGGGAACGAGGTTGGGAATTTGTAAGAAAGTTGACGGAATATTGTTATGAATGAATCCACAGCTCGGCTGTTTTTCACGTTCTTCGCTTTTATTTATACATATAGTCTGCTTAAAAACTTACTTAGGCCCGGTTTAGACGGCGAACTTCTCATGCGCCGAATCTAATTGTCGTAGATACGGCAAAATATGGGAAACTGATTTAGACGTCGAACTTAATTGCACCGTACCAAATTGCGAAGACATTATAGGAAATATTTACAATGCAAATATATGATAATCATATTATGATGTTAAAAAATAATTATGCATTAGGTTCGGCGCATGAAAAGCACGGCGTCTAAATCAATGTCGAACCTGTGTCGCATATACGACTTGTCCTGTCGCATCTTCGAGTCGTGTCGAACTTAATCAAAACCTGCCGAACTTAACTGATTTAGACGCCGCTCCAACGTCGCACTTAATCCTTGCATTAGATTCGGCGCATGAAAAGTTCGCCGTCTAAACCGGGCCTTATAAAACCGAATGAGCGTCACTTGTGATACTAGACCCTAGTCAAGGCAAACAAGTAAACAACAATAAAGCAGTCCAGGAATCCACAAATATGATTCCAGTCCGCATCGTTTCGAAATGGTTGAGTGATTGCCGCGCCTTCTGAAATTTTACAATGAACTTGCATTCCAAGAACACCCCATGCCTATTGGCGGATTATAAATCTCATAAATTATATATGTAAATACTTCAATCTTCGTGATGTGTTTTGACATTTCAACAGAAATTTCGCGGTCTCGAGCGAGACGCGACTTATTCAGGTTGTTATGCGGCAGTTGTATACTTATTGTATACTTATTGGGTATCGAGTCATCGGGGATTGATGGCTAGTTTTGTAAAATTTGGCGCAAAAGAGTTGAACAGTTGATCGTTAGAGATAAATGCTGACAATCATGAACATGTAGACGCCATGCACTTGTACACTTGAAACTGGCTAAATCACATAGCCAAACCCTGTTGGCCCTAAATGGCCAGAGCAGCGATCTAGAAGTTGGAAGAAGGAAATGCCAGAAAGCTTTTCATTTTCTGAAGTTTGATAATGGTTCTTTTGGACCGTAATCAACCATTTCATTAGCACACTTGGCACAGTTCAATGAACAGTTGAGTGGATCCTGCGAAAAGACTGTCGATCTATTTAGTCAAACGAGAAACGGCCTCAAATTCCAATTCCTTTGCCCGTAACTTCTTGTATTTGATCATTTCTCGTCACTTCCTGCCTCTTCATGATTGGTCAATTGCACCAAAACCAAAGGTGATAGGTGCATTTATACAGGAAGTTTATCAATTGTACATGCAGGAAGTTATCAAGTTTTCAAAGAACTCATCACATGAATTAGTTCATGTAAATAAATAAATTGGTAGCATATTTCAGGAACATTTTCACTGATACGACTGTAATGTTTAATAAACTATTGCACCTTTACAGACCACTAAAACTACAATCTGTGACATTGGAAGGTGGGACACTTAGATTGGAAGCTTATTTTCGTAAACAATTGCCCAAAATAACATGTAAAACCCCCCTCCCCCGTTTCAATGTTGCTGTGTGTGCTGGGAGAGTTTCAGCAACGCAATACAACATAAAAGTACTTCATATAAAATGTCAATGTTAGTGTAACAACATTGAAGTGGGGGGGGGGGGGGGTTATGTTACAGTCTCGGCCTAACCAGTCTACGCCGGTATTTTGTCACTAACCATAACCTTAACCATAATCTTAACCATAATCTTTGTAACCATAATCTTAACGCGCCAACAACACCAGAAATCTTAAGACCATTCCTGTCAATATTGCAAAGTTAATGTACATTGACAAAACAAACTTCATGATCCCCTCTGCCCCCGAAACAACTATAATAATTCACGGAGAGGGAAGAGCGACATGATTTTACGGGAACTTATCGTTTTCCAAACTACCAAGACCTTGAAATTTGCTTTTCCCAAACAGAGAATGACTTTGTTTTTGAAATTACACTAAGTATTTGCGAGTTGAACTGACCACATAATTGACATAAACCGCAGGTGCTTCAAGAATGCGTACGTCATCAGTGGCATACGTGCGTGCATGTAATCATATATTAGTGAGCTTAAGACGCGGACGTCACCTGAAAATTGGTCTAACTAATTTTGACGGCATTTTGCATCACAGCGCTCATGTAAGGAAGCAAAAAACTTTAAAAATCTTATGTTTTGCCATATGTGTTGAAGATTACCACAAACTGATACAAACACAGTTTTCAATCCAGTCCCCCTCGGCAATCTGACGTCTGTATTGACAAAAACGCACATACGCAATAATGACGCATGGTAAAAACTTGTATATAGCTGCGTGTTTGCTAGAATACGCAGTAGTAGACAACAGATTTAAACCGATAGCAGAAGCAAGCAACATTGCTGCTAAAGAAACTAGTGATTGAAGGTTAGCGTAATGCTGCGCTTAGCCCGCACAGATAATACAGGGCTATTAATTTGCTGCTGTATATTTTGGTTGGTTGGTGCGAATTTCGAGCAAACGTTGAAAACTGACATCTCGCATGAACGACATAACAATTCAAAGAACTGAAATAAATATTACAACAGCGGCAAAAAGACACAACTCTGTACTAATCTAAAAGACTAAAGTGCAGCTATTTTGTAGCTTTACTTATATTATGGCCTGGATATGAAGTGGGTTGTTGAACTGAGTATATGACGATTTTCCATTATATTCAAAATATTTTCAAATTCTCCACTTCCTACATATTTCATACATTTTGTTATCGCTCCTTTTTTACCCTTTTTATCGTCCCGGCATAAAATTGTTTTCAACTGCTGTAGTCCTTAATGCTGAGACACTGATCAACAGACTTGTTTTTGTGAAACTGAAACAATATAATTATTAATTAGGGAAATCCCCTCTGTTTCTTGCTTGATCGTGAACGGTCAACACAATTACAATACAATAATACGACCAATCAAAACGCTGATACGATAATTTCACATACACATGTGGTAATATCATCCGCCATAAGCCTTCAACCATCTACTACAGCATAGAAATCTCTACACTTATATAATAAATTTATTTTTGCAATCAACATTAATACAAAAATGTAATTTTACAAAATTAAAGAATATCTCTAACATTATAATGGAATTGCTCGTGTGCTAAAGAGCAAATATTAGTTTCATTATTAACAGCACTGACTGGTCTCCACAAGACATTAGCCACTACTAGTAACTATTAAGAGTCCTAAATATCAGCTGCTATATCTACTATTTCTATTTTTTTTATTAACTTTACAATCAAATGACTGATGGTAAGGACAACAGGACGTGAGTCCCTAATTAAGTCCCACCAAAAGCTTACATTACATAATTACTTATAGGTATTACAAGAATACATATTATATACATAAACGTTAGGACATACAACAATTTTAATTACATCTATGAACAACAGTATGAATGTAAAGAACGACATTTACTGCATATGTTCTATATACACTATATACACTACAAAACTGTGATGTAAGATGCATGGAAATTAAAAGAAACTTTAAAGTGGAGATCAAAGTTGCTCTGCTCATGCGCGTTTTCTATTGAAACATTGAGAAAAAGGTTCAGTTTATCATGCTCTCACTTTCGATCTATTTTTATTGTATTTTAACAAGACAACTACAAACAACCTTGCACAAGGTTGCAGCTTGGACTGAACTACTAACAGACCGTAGGACCCATGCAGGTTATATGATATTATTATTTAAACTTGTTTAAAAACGGTAGCCCTTCAGCACAAAGAAACTGATTTTCAAGGGGCCGTTTGAATACAATATTAAAAACCTATTATACACACTAATACTTAACTAATACAAACACACTATCACACACTATATATATATATATAGCTAATACTATATATATATATACAGCTAATTCAAAAAAGGTTGTCCTTTGCAAACCTTAAACTGTAAACCTTAAACCTTAAACTCTAAGCGCGCAAAGCATAATGGGAGCACAAATTTCAAGCTTAGCAGTTGTATATTGCAGTTGTTTGTGAGTGAAATGTTTTCGCAGGGAGATGTTTACCATGTCTCTGAGAAATGGGCTCCGTATATGCTTTCTAAACTGCTTAAATCGTGCTCCCAATACGCTTTGCGCGCTTAGAATTTAAGGTTTAAGGTTTTAAAGTTTAAGGTTTGCAAAGGACAACCTTTATTGAAATATATATACAGGGTGTATAAAAAAAAACTGAACAGATTTGAAATTACTCTCAATTTCGCAAAACACCGATTTGTATCCGGTTTTTTATAGATATAGCTTCTTTGGGTACTTAAAATATAGAATAATGAAAAAAATTTCTTGAACTCAAATATTGTGAACCAGGGGGGTGTGTCTTTTCCAACAAAATAAAAATGGCTTGCGCACAAACTTTAAAAGCTGTAATCATATTTTGAGTTAATAGATGGAAACTTTGTCGGGTTTTTAATTACTGTACAAAATTTCACACAATTTGGTTTAGTTTAAGCCATTTAACTATTCACGCAAAGTTACATTTTTCCCGAGAATCAGCTATTTGCATGCTTAATTAATGCATTTGCCTAATTTGCATATGTTAGCAATATGCAAATTAGGTAAATGCATTAATTAAGCATGCGAAAGGCTGATTTTTTAGAATAAAATGAATAGTTAAACGGCTTAAACTAAACCAAATTGTCTGAAATTTTGTACAGTAATAAAAAACCGAA